TGTTACAGATTCAGCTCATGCTCTTTTTGTGAGAGCAACATATTTAGTTTGTCACAGATTAATATCATCCTGGAAAACAGATTTAAATATTTCTCTAGCAGCTCTTGAAATATTATCAGGACTAGCAAGAACACGTATTCGTGAAACAGGTAAATTATAATATTCATCAAAATATAATATTACTTTTAATCCATATAATGTTAAACATTTCCTGTGCAGCAAGGAAATTAACAGGTTGATTTATATTTTATGATATAATTTGTATTTTAAAATTTAATCACAAAATATTAATTTTTAATGAATATTATAGATGCTTTAGAATGTAAACGTGCTGTGAAATGGCTTTGTGACTATATTGCGTATCAGTGTTGGCGTCCACCACCAGCTCATTCAAAAGATCTTCATTCCTCTATTGTTGCTGCATTTAGTTGCTTAAAAACTTGGTTAACTGCCCATTCACAATTGCTACAAGTTACTATTTTATTTATATTTAATTATAATATGTGTTAACATTAGTATAAATTTATACTTAAAATTATATTTTTAGGATAAAGACTGTTTAACAACAGTTCTTGAAGTAGTTGAACTTGGTGTATCAGGAACAAAAAGTGTAGGAAAACCTGGTGAACCTATTAAAATGAAAGACGAGAAGGAATTAAAACCAGCATCTATGCGTGTTAGAGACGCTGCTGACGCACTTCTCACAGTTATTTTGGAACAAGTATATTATAGTCATTATGATTAAAAAATATAAACTTTATAAAAATTGTTTCATATAAATTTATCTACTTATAGGTTGGCTATTTCCCTAGTGCATGTGGAGCACAATCATTGTCATCTTTACTGGATGAGGTATCACTTCTCCGACATTGCAACAGTTGGACTGGTGGTCGAGTTCCACATCAAGCAGCAGTTGAAAGATTTCGGTATTTTGTTGCTGAAAATGCTACAATATTAGCTTTATTAGAAGAACCTCTTGGAAATGATCAAGATCCACAACCAACTGTAACTGTGTTAATACGTGGCCCATTTGGAAGGCATGCGTGGACGATGCAACTTCGACATTTACCAAGGCATAGATCTAGTATAAGAAGTGTAAATACAAATCCAGGTCGACCACTGCCATTAGCAGAAGCTGCTCCACGAACAGATTACAAACCTAGATTTTTTCCTGATAATGTGGATCGAATACCACATTGTAAAGTGTATGTCAAATTTTATTAACATATTTTCATAAAATTCGAAATATTTACAAGTAAAAATTTTATTGCATAACATTCAATTTTTATTTAGGGATGAATCTATTCCAAGTCTGGAAGCAGTTATGAATGATAACGATATGGTGAGAAACGAACATCAAATTTTGTCACAATTGTTAGAACGTCAAATGAATATTGAAGCAAAATATTGTGATGGAAACGATAAAGTTTCAGAGGAAAAAACAGAAGAATGTGTACCGCCTCAAATTTGTCATGAATTTCAAACTGCTCGTCTGTTTTTAAGTCATTTTGGATTTTTAAATATGGAACCTAAAGAAAAAAATGAATCTAGAAACGGCGGACTTACTGCTCTAGATCCGACTATCCCAGGATTTTGTTTAGACTTAGAAACTTTAGATAACATCAGTCCAAGGACGTGTGATACTGTATACATTTTTTATGTGAAAGCTGGTCAAAAAACCTCTACAGAAATATTGTCTAATGTGGTAATTATGTTTTCGATTTTACAATATTTTATCATTATATATTTACATTCATACAAAGTATTTTTATATTTATAGTTACATGAATCGAATATATCATCAAATTTCTTAGAATTTTTAAATTCTCTTGGCTGGCCAGTTTCTGTATCAGCACATGCTGGTTGGACTGGTCATATTTCTACTTCATGGAGAGTAACACCACAATTGAATGTGCCTCAACCAGCTCATAGTGACCATGGTGGAGCTCTTTATAATGGTGATACGCACGTACTTTATTGGGCAGATGTTAGTTCAGAAATTGCTTTCATTGTACCCACTCAATCTAGTAATATAGTAAATTCAGATTCATTAGAAGAAACAAGTTATGGTAATGATATCAGTGCTAACCAAGGTACAAACTAAAAACATCTTGTATGATGATATATTAAAGAATATGATTTCATATTAAATGTATAAGTTATATAATAATTAATAATTACAGTTTGGTTTGAAAGAAGTATTAGTGAAAGTACTTCATCTCGAAATAATAATACAGGACAAAATACAATGCAAAACTCACGAACTCTATCACTTGATTTAGAAAAACAGCCATCTAGTTTGACAGGATCTAATTCCTGTACTGTAGACTTAGTTAAACCAAGGAAAACAACTAAACAAGTTTTACCAGTACAAACTGACATTAAAATTATGGTTGTTTGGCTAGAAAGTTTAGAAGATTTTGCTCAATTTCCAATTGGTATTTTTATTGAGATAAAAATATTTATTTATTTACTTGAATTAAGTGACAAAAATTTCATAATTATATTTCACATACAGGTGATCTTCTTCCTTGTACTTACAGTGGTCTTGAACAATCAAGACTGATTCAAGCATCAGATGTACAAGTAATTTTTCTCCAAGCTCTCAGTAGTGGATTAATGAGAGTCAGATTACAAGGTCCAGTTTCTAGAATCAATCTAGCCACTCCTCTAATTGATGGGATGGTTGTATCTAGAAGAGTATTGGGAACACTTGTTAGGCAAACAGCATTAAATATGGGACGTAGAAAAAGACTTGACAATGATAGGTGTGTAAAGATATAGTAATATTGTAATAATATTAAAGTGCTTAATATTTATAATATTTTACAGTTATCACCCACCACATGTACGTAGACGTTTGAAAATTCAAGAAATGGTACAAAAATATAAAAAAAATTTAACTGAACCAGAATTACTAACACTTTTATTTAGCAGCACTCAAACTTATCAAATTTAGTAAAATTAATGTAAATCAAATAAAATTTACATTAAATCATGCATATAATAAAGCTATATTTCTGAACAATAAATATGCATCAATATAGTGATAATATTTAATTTTCCTGCACTTTATAATTTAAAAGATATTTAATATTGTTTTTTATATATATATATATATATGATATTATATCACATATAGTTTATTATTCTTACAATATATAACAATTATAATAAGTATAAATACATAATATCATAATATAATATAAATATTATAGTATAAAAATAATATTTATTTATAATATAATAAATATTAGTAATAAAATACCATAATCATTGAAAATAAATAATCTGGTTTCTTTAAATATACTTTAATGTAATAATTGTACAATAAAATATATTTATTAATAATGTTATTCATAATTGTAAAAAACAATAATATTAAAATAAATAAGTAATACAACACAACTAATTACATAATACATCATTTTTTCTTTTCCTCTTCCTTCTATTTATATTGTAACAATTACATAATATGCCCTTCAAAACCTCAAATGATGATCAAAATAACTCATTAAAGTCAATTATAAAAAATTATACATTTCAACAGTCATTGTCTTTATAAAATAATTACTGTGCTAATTTAAAACATTAATTGTATATCTCTATAAATTAATCATATGTTTCTATAAAAAAATTGTATCAATATATGAAAAATATAATATTGTATTGTCAATAACAAATGAAATAACTAGTAAAAAAGTATATGTTTTCATATATATTGTGTTATCTTCTATACCAATGCGAAAATATAGCTGCGTCATTCTATGAGTCTGCACTTTACGGTAGAATATGTGATCTTACGAAATATCGTATTGATATAAGTATTATTATCATCTAAAACGTAGATTGAAAGATTCAATGTTACATAACATTAGTTATTATCTTAAAACACACTTTTAAATATCATTATTGTTAGGTATTAATGTAACATTTAATAATTTTCTGTTATTTAAAGGATATTGTATAATTTAGATACACATTACATTTTTGCAAAAACTACAAGTCATTCAAATTGAATATGAGTTTCATATATAAAATATATGTATTTTATTCTTTTACGATAACAAAATACGCAGTATAATTTTTCAGTATTCCGATAAATAAAGTACAAGAATACAGAGAATAAAAATTAAAACAGATTACACTTGATATAAAATACTTCAATAAAAAAAGTACATCTCTTTCATATTTATAATATACTTCTTTTGCGCAATATGTATAACATATTTATTGTTTTTTATTATTTATTATTTATTTATTTTTATGGTATTTTTATACATGAAAGATATTTTAAATATATTTTTTAAATATTTTTAGTTTCAGAAATAAACAATAAAATGTAACTAATTCATTATATCATGACAAATCAAAAAATATATAAATAGAGATATATGGATATAAAATATAACAAATGTGTAAGGTATATATGCTTTTAAATAAAACATATATACAAATTTGTGCATAATAATATAAAAATAAAAGTAAAATCTATTAGATATATCATTTTAGAAGAAATAACTTAAAATCTACTATATTTTAATAAGAACAAATACTCCAAATTTATTTCGTTAATAACATATGTATATTAATATATTTTTATTTTGATCACAAAAATACTATTTTTATTTTATTATGTTTTTTTGTTTTGATTCTACACATGTCCTTCAATTTAAAAGTTAAACCGTTATTTCAGAATTATGCGCATGAATGTAACAGAACATGACGTAATGCTTTTTGATTGGGTAAATAAGCCAACGTTATAATGTGAATCGGTCTCTATTTAGGCACAGTTTACGTTTGTCTGAGAGAGTGATCAGAAAGTTGTGTATCAATTAATTTTAGATAGATATATAAGGTAACATATAATGTACTTATGTTCTGTACAATTGAACATCTTTTAATTGAGTACAATCATTTATTAAAATTAATGATACATGTTTTGTAGTGTGAAGATACTTTATCTTGCTCAACATATTTATAAAAGAACAGGATAAGTGTAATCTGAATATAACTGAAGATAAAATCTATGAAGCAGTAAATGTATTTTTATGGAAGACCAAATTATGGATCAATTTTGTGGAACCAAATTTTGGGTAAGAATGCATGTCCTATTTGTACCTCTGATACTTCTTTATTTGTGCTGATATTTTTATTTGTATCATAAAATATCTTTCTTTTTAAATATATCTTTTTTATTAACACTATTATTTATTTAATGTAAAAGAAAATTTTAAAAATATATTTTTGTACTAATTTAGAAATTTTTAATCAATTTTTCACCAAAAATAATATTATCCAGTATTGTTTAAATTGTAACAGAAAATGCTATAGCATTTACATTTTTATATTTTAGGATAATGATTCAATATGGAACACAGATGATCCAGATATTACAGAATGTTTTCAGAAAACTGTTTTAGTGTGGGTGCCATGTGCATTTCTATGGCTGTTCTCTGGAATAGAAATTTATTACTTTTTAAATAGTAAAAGCAAAAATATTCCATATACATGGTTATTTATCTCTAAACAAATACTCATAGTAGCCCTGATTTTACTTAGTATTGTTGACTTAGGAAAGGCTATATATAAAAGTACTTATAAAGAAGTTTATAATGTTGATTATTGTACACCATTTATAAAAATTGTTACCTTTGTAAGTAAAAATTTTATTTAAATATTGTAATTAAAAATTAATTAATTAATTAATAAATTACGTAATTCAAAATTTTTAATTTAAATATTATAAACAATTATATGGTAGTAGTGTCATTTTGTTAATTTTTTTATAGATTAAAGCAGTTACTTTAGTAACATATAATAGGAAATATGGAATGCGAACCTCTGGACTATTATTTTTATTTTGGTTTCTGCTTGCCTTATGTGGAGTCATTCAATACAGTAGTTTATTAAGGTTATATATAAATAAGGTATGTTATTAACCAACTCAGTAACTAACTAATAAATTAAAATTAATTTATATATTTAATGAAACTGTTAAAAAGTGACAGATCTTTTATTTATTTTTTATTTTAAAGTCACATTTGTCTTGTTCTTAATAGTAATATTGATATAATCATTCTTATATATTATTTTTTAGAATGAAGTCACCTATTCATTTGTGTCATACATGATATATTATCCAATAGTGATACTTTTATTCTTATTGAACTTCTTGGTTGATGCTGAACCTAAATATTCTGAATATCCCAGGGTAAATAAGTATATATTATATTGTTGATGACTTATGTTCTGTTTGAAATGAAGCATTAAAGTTTAATGTTGTACATTATATTTATAGGTTGAGAAACCATGTCCAGAACAAAGATCTTCCTTTCCAGCAAAACTCTTTTTTACATGGTTTGATTCAATGGCATGGAAAGGTTTTAAAAAACCTTTGGAAGCTATAGATTTATGGTCTATGAATCCAGAAGATACTGCAAGAGAAATTGTACCCAAATTTGACAAATATTGGAATAAGAATTTGCAAAAGAGTAACAAGTGAGTGTGATATTTATGGATATTTGATACTAGGAAAGAAGTATAAAATAGTAAAAATGAGTTAATAAAATGAAATAAATTATATTGTATTTGACATTAGTAATATGATACCAATTTACTTTTGCTAACAAGAGTATTTTGGACCTATTTTAGGTAAGTTAATTAATTAGTTTATGCAATCGACCATAAATATAAGCGTAATTTTTGTTTTCAGTTTACAAAATACCAAAGCTTCATTTAGAAAGGCATCTGATCAAGTAGATTTTAATAATGGATATAAAAGGAAAGAGACATCAGTATTACCTCCACTTTGCAAAGCTTTTGGTACCACGTTTTTATTTGGAGCTGTACTTAAATTTGTACAAGATATTATAACTTTTGCTAGTCCTCAAATATTGAAGTAAGTGAATAAGTTTTAATATTTATTTTAAAAGTTAATTCATTGTTAGAATCAGAATTATTTTCTTTAATATAGGTTACTTATCAAATTTATTGAAGGACATGAACCACTATGGAAAGGCTATTTTTATGCAATTTTACTCTTTGTTACCGCCATATTTCAAACATTAATTTTGTCTCAATACTTTCATCGTATGTTCTTAGTTGGATTACGAATACGTACTGCTTTAATTGCAGCAATTTATCGGAAAGCATTGAGAATGTCTAATTCTGCTAGAAAAGAATCAACGGTTGGTGAAATAGTAAATTTAATGTCCGTGGATGCGCAACGCTTTATGGATTTAACAGCATATATAAATATGATTTGGTCTGCACCATTACAAATAGTTTTAGCATTATATTTTTTATGGGACATTTTGGGACCAGCTGTACTCGCTGGATTGGCTGTTTTACTTATTCTCATCCCAATAAATATCTTGATTACTAATAGAGTTAAGACGTTACAAATTAGACAAATGAAGCATAAAGATGAAAGAGTTAAATTAATGAATGAAATACTTAATGGTATAAAAGTATTAAAGTTATATGCATGGGAACCTTCATTTGAAGATCAGATACTGAAGATACGTACAAAAGAAATTAAAGTACTTAAGGAAGCAGCATATCTCAATTCTGCAATAAGTTTTATCTGGTCTTTTGCTCCCTTTTTAGTAAGTTTTTAAAAAAATTATGTTGTTAAAAATGAAAATAATTTTTATTTTCATTTATTCTTTTATTTTCTTTATTCTTTTTCTTTTTTTTTTTTTTCATATATTTTGTAGGTATCGCTGGTATCCTTTGCAACATATATACTTATAGATGAAAACAATCGTTTAGACAGCACAGTTGCTTTTGTTTCACTCAGTCTTTTTAATATCTTAAGGTTTCCTCTTTCTATATTACCTATGATGATTGGTAATATGGTCCAGGTAAATAAAAATAATTTATATTTCATTAGAATGCACACAATTAATTTTTTTTTTTTTTAATATGATATATGATATTTAGGCTTATGTCTCTGTAAAACGTATTAATAAATTCATGAATACAGAAGAACTGGATCCAAATAATGTTCAACATGATCCATCAGAATGTGAGTTACTAATCATTGTAATGTATCTGCAAATATTATATACTGTATATGTCATATGTATTAATACAACATAGCATATGCACTATTAATTGAGAACGGCACCTTCGCATGGGATATGGAGAACATAGATAGACCAATATTAAGAAATATCAGTCTTAAAGTAGAACAGGGTCAATTGGTAGCTATTGTTGGTACTGTAGGATCAGGTAAAAGTTCTCTTATATCAGCCCTTCTTGGAGAAATGGAGAAAATAAGTGGTAGAGTTAATACAAAAGTAAATATTTTATTACCTAAATGATGAAATTTTCTAGCATGAAACAATTTTTCATAATTATTTGTTTGTCTTATTTATGATAGGGTTCTATTGCATATGTATCTCAACAAGCATGGATACAAAATGCATCATTACAAGATAATGTATTATTTGGGAAGCCATTGCACAAAAATTTATACAATCGTGTAATTGAATCATGTGCATTAAATCCAGATTTAAAAGTACTGCCTGCTGGTGACAAAACTGAAATTGGAGAAAAAGGAATTAATTTATCTGGAGGACAAAAACAGAGAGTAGCATTAGCAAGAGCTGTATACAATGATTCCGATATCTATTTTTTGGATGATCCATTGAGTGCAGTAGATGTACATGTTGGAAAGCATATATTTGAAAATGTAATTGGTTCTACTGGTCTGCTTAAGAAGAAAACAAGAATACTCGTTACACATGGTATGATTTATTTACCAGAAGTTGATAACATCATTGTTCTTAAAGATGGTGAAATAACAGAAGTTGGAAGTTACAAACAACTTCTAGAGAAAAGGGGAGCCTTTTCTGAGTTTCTAGTGCAACATCTTCAAGAAGGTATATATCACTTTTTCCATTTCTTTTATTTTACTTCACTCAGGTTCTGTATTAATTTTTAATTATATTTTTCATGAATCTAAGTTGGAAATCGTAAGTCAGTGAAAAAAGTAATTACGATTCCTTTTCCTACTTCAATTTGTGTGATTGTCCAGAAAATGGTTTATATTATATTTGGCTTGTGATATTAGAGTATCAAGGATGTTAGTATTTTTCGCAATTTGCTATTATAAAAACTTATCAGCCAGTTTGTAGCATAAAGTAATCCTCACTACAACTTTGTTTTTCAGTACTCTTGTAGTATAATTCCGTTTTTGTTCAAAACAAAAATATATGCATGTAAGGTTTTACTTTATAATGCATGTTAAATTTGAACCAGAAATTTACTAAAATTAGATAACTAGTATTATAATTCTTTTTGTAATTTATTTTTAAACTAGTGAAGTTAACAATCATAATTTGCCGAATGCATTTGAAATTTTATTTTAATGTAAAAATGTGTCCTATTATTATTTTCTAGTCTTATAATAATTTAATTTTTGATATGTTATATTATTTTATATTTTTTGTGACAAATTTGAAATAGTACACGCTGATGATGAATCAGAAGCAGATCTACATGAAATTAAACAACAATTGGAATCTACAATAGGATCAAATGAACTGCAACAGAAATTAACAAGAGGTACATCAAGAATGTCAGAAAGTCAAAGTGAATCTGGTTCTATAGTTGATAGAAAATCTTTAAATGGTTCATTAAAAAGGTAAAACTACTGCAATATTATTTATTTTATTGCATAATAATGTTTCTATACTATATATCTTTCTAAATTTTTTAGGCAGTATTCGACAAGTAGTCAACAATCTGGAACTTATGAAAATATTAATAACATAAAAGAAACAAAGTTATTATCTCTGAAATTGGGAGAGCAATTAATAGAAGTAGAAAAAACTGAAACAGGAAGTGTAAGTTGTCATTTCCTTATTTAATAAAATAATTATTAAATCAATTTTTAATTTTATATATTATTTTTGCTATTAAGGTTAAATGGCGAGTCTATTCTCATTACTTTAAATCTATTGGTTGGTTTTTATCAATATCGACTATTATCATGAACGCTATTTTTCAAGGATTTAGTATTGGTTCAAATAGTTGGTTAAGTCTATGGTCAACTAGTAATTTAACAGATTATAACAACACAGTTAATCATACTAAACAAGATATGTATCTTGGAATCTATGGTGGACTTGGAATAGGGCAAGGTATGACTTTAAAATTTATAATTATTTATTTTTTATTTATTAGTGTCTCTTAGAAATAGAATTTAATAAAGAATATTATATAAGGTAAGCATATTTTTCTGAAACGTGTTATAATTTATCTTATGTTATATTTATCACAACTTAAACGTTGTTTGAAAAGCATGTTCCTTCACAGATTACATAGTTTTGGGGCAATTAAACTTTTTTAATTAATTTTAAACTATGAATAAAAAATGTTTGTACAAGTTTGTAACTAACTGTTTGTGTATTAACACAATAAAAATTATTGTTTTCATAAAAATTTCATTTGAAATTTCAATGATGCATTAATTAAAACTAAAATACTAATAAAATTTTACTATGTTTTAAAATATTAGTGCGAGTGCGGTTTGCTGTGTTAGTAGAATATTTCTAAATAAAATAAAGCTTTGTAGAGATACATGTTTAAATACAATTATTTCAATTACTTTTACTGTTCAAAATTCATTTTTATTTCGCATGTACTTATTTATTTTGTTCACTTATTAATTCAAATATATGTATTAACTCATGCAATATTTGTGTATAATATTTAAGCATGAAGTAAAAAAAATAAGAAAGCTTTACATCATCTGTCCATTGTCAAAACAAGTTTTATATCTTTTATACTTTTAAATGTTCATACTTATGTAATCAAATTATTAGTGAAAACTTGTTATTAACTATTTATTAATTATTTAGTAGCAAAGCTGAATCACTAACAATATTAATATACTATCATTCTTCTATAATAATAAAAAAATAGTCTAAAAATATAAAAATATAATTTCTATATTACTTTCCGTAATATTTATTATTTATATTTAAAAAAAATAAGGACTATCTATATTATTTTTCTTTATAAATAATTAGCAAATTTTATTTAACACAGTTTTTTTGGAAGGGCTGTAATTTAATAGGTGCTACAACATCATTAAATATTATGTGTATTACATTAATATAATTAGTAAAAATGCAATCAGTTGGTAAAAGAAGAAAGTTTGTGCAAAAATTCAAAAGTATTTAAATATAATACAAATTTTTTTGAAAAGATAATAATATTAAGAACATACAAGTTCATTAATTAATTTCTTTTGCCTAAATAATTGTGTTGAGATAATTAAATTCAAATAAATTTAATTGAGGATTTATTTATATTTTATTAATAACATGTACTATAATAATCACTATTCTCTGATTATAAATGCACCTCAATACATGTGACTGCAGAAAGGAACATACAAGTTTTGTTAAGGCAGCTGGTGAGCAATAATGAAAGTCAATTTTATTGCTAAGGAAATTTGTTTTATATTTTAATTTATAATATATATAAAATACAAATGTAAAAACTGATGAAGTCCCTGATATATGATTGTCAGGTTTAATGATATACCAAAGTTATCACCAATCGTTGTAGGCGTGACAGTGCTTGGAGGGGCGTTATTCATGACAAAAGGAACAATACGCGCTTCCGTGCATCTCTTCGAGAGTACATTGAAACGTATTCTCCGGAACCCAATGTCATTCTTTGACAAAACTCCAACCGGTCGAATTCTTAGTCGACTTGCTAAAGACACTGATGTCATTGATAATACGCTGCCATCCATACTGCGTTCTTGGATTTCTTGCCTCTTTGGGGTATGATATTTTCACGTTGTAAATACTGTGCTTAACAAATTCTAATTTTCATCAAAAATTGTAAATCAAAATTTATATCCACTTACGCAGTGGCTATATTAACAGCTCTAATTACTTACATATAATTCTGCTCATATTATTTTTTGTAATTTTGTTGTCAAAATACATACATTTTTAAAATTTTTAGAAAAAAAATGTTAAAGAGAGATTATAAATATTTGCATGCTTAAATAAATTAAAAGGTTTCATGCACCATTTAATTAGAAAATAAAATATTTCTATTTATTAATCTTATTATACTTATTATTACCATATTATTTTACTTTTATAATATATATATTTTTCTTTTAATGTAAAACTTAGTAATTTATGTTTTCTTTAAAATAATAAAATAGGTTGTATTGTGACTGTATTTTATTAATAATTTATGTGTTTTGTTGGAGTATTAATATATATGTATTTTATTTAATCGATGTCAAATATATAAATTCATTAATGTATAGTTTTTATTGTAATTAGTGGTATAAATTTTAATTTTAACAATTTTTTGATACAGTCACCAACAATCTATAATATAAAAAGCTACAACTCAAAAGTAACATCATAATCAGTAAGGTAATGGACACAATTATACAATCAGCATTTTGTGTAAAAAAGTAATATTGCTTATGCTTGAAAATTGTATGTATATGTTTTACCGAATGTGTAAACCTTTGGATACTTGATGTGCTTACGTATTGTTCCATTATTCATACCTAGCATGCCCCTCCACAGCAAACTTCACCCCCTCGCATAACATGAGACAGAACAATATTTTTAATTTTTTTGTATTATAAACTTATAGTTGTTAAAAAGTATAGATGAAACGAACTTCTATTTGTTTATGCATACTAAAAGTGAATAATGCTTCCAGACCTTCACATTATATGATAATAAATTTTATTATGAACTATTTGTCTTTGAATAAAGTTTCACAGTAGTAATGAAAAATTCACATAAAAATGTTAAGTGAAAAAAGATTTTACAGAATGCCTTAGATTCTTTAAATTTTGGCCATGTTTGTACCATTTAGAATTTTGTTAAAGTGGTTACAATGAAAGCAAATCATGTCTGATGTTGTAGCGATGGCGAGTTTTTTCTGCGATTTGGCACCGCAGCTGGGCTGTTGGCTGGCTGCTCGCCAGATGCACATAATGATGCTGCGTGCTGTGATGCGTGCTCCATTGACCTTCTTTGATACGACTCCTACTGGTCGTATTATCTCCAGGTTTGCTAAAGATGTCGACGTACTGGACACATCTCTCCCTCAACAAATTTCTGATAGCATCTATTGTTTGTTTGAGGTAATTTTTGGAAATGCCTGAACCAAATTATGATGATTGACTGTTATTATTTCCTTTCTATAATTCCTTAAATCATAATTCATTCAATAATTATATATACCTCTATCTTACTGAAGGGTTGGTATTTCCTATATAAGTACATCATGGGTATCTATTCATTCTGTAACATCTTATATCAAACAATGCATTACTGTTATGTTCGTTCAATCGTAATTCTTCATTAAACTCTAAATAGTTGTAAAAGGTGTATAACTTTAAATGTTATGATGTAAAAATATTGTGCAAACTGAGATTAAGTATAATTGTGTCCGTTTCAATAAATTACAATTATAATTTATTTTATAAAATGAGTAAATATAAAAAAGTATGCCTGCAATGAGTGGTAGGAAATGCTGGTGCAAGTGTCCATTAATTAAAACGAATTCTGTGTTCAATTGTATATCGATGTCTGGAAATATAGATATGGGTGCTTCATCTGGAAACTTGCATGGTCACTAACTCATAAATACTTTGTTTCAAAACTAGTTTTTGACCATTTTATAATTGTATACATATATTTATATGTATTATTATGTACATATGATTGTTTATTTCCTATCCCTTATTTTTTTGTTTTTAATTTTTTAAGCAGAAACTGACAAATTTGTTGAAAAATATTATACTTTTTACTAAATATTATGTTCATATTACAGGTCATAGCCACTGTAGTGGTTATAAGTTATAGTACACCAATATTTATATCGGTCATACTACCAATAAGTGCAGTTTATTACTTTGTTCAACGTTTGTATGTTGCATCTTCAAGACAACTAAAACGATTAGAATCTATTTCAAGATCTCCTATATACTCACATTTCAGTGAAACAGTTTCTGGTATGTAAAGTAACTATTTTATTATTGATATACAACTTGCATATTGATTAAGTAACAAAAATAGTTGGCATAATTATACGTAGTTAATATCAATATTTTATTTATTAGGAGCACAAATGATTAGAGCATTTGGAGTGCAAGATCGATTTATTCATGAATCTGAAAGTAAAGTAGATTTCAATCAAGTATGTTATTATCCTAGTATAATTGCAAACAGGTATGAATTTTTTCTAAAAATTCCACTATCAAATTAATATTATAGTTTAAATAACAATATTAAACATAATTGATTATTTTATTACAGATGGTTGGCTATACGTTTAGAAATGGTTGGAAATTTAATTATTTTCTTTGCAGCATTGTTTGCTGTATTAAATAAAAACAGTATAGGTTCTGGTGTAGTTGGTTTATCTATCAGTTATGCTTTACAAGTAAGATACAAATATAAATATGATATAAAAATATAGATACATATACATTGTAATAAATAAACATTAATTATTATAATTTCATAATGATTTTTTACATTATTTTGTATCATTTTAGGTTACTCAAACATTAAATTGGTTAGTACGAATGAATTCTGATGTTGAAACTAATATTGTAGCTGTAGAAAGAATAAAGGAATATGGAGAAACCCCTCAAGAAGCATCATGGAAAAACCCAGATTATACACCACCTAAAGAATGGCCTGTGCAAGGACGAGTAGAATTTAAAGATTACAAAGTTCGTTATAGAGAAGGTTTAGAACTTGTACTTCGTGGGTTATCATTTTCTGTTAAGGGAGGAGAAAAAGTTGGTATCGTTGGTAGAACTGGTGCCGGAAAATCATCTTTAACATTAGCTCTGTTCAGAATAATAGAAGCAGCTGATGGACAGATTTTTATTGATGACATTGATATTGCCAAATTAGGACTCCATGATTTAAGATCTAGACTGACTATCATTCCTCAGGATCCTGTATTATTTTCAGGAAGTTTGAGAATAAACTTAGATCCTTTCAATTGTTATACTGATGATGAAGTTTGGAGAGCTTTGGAACATGCACATCTTAAGTCTTTTATAAGAAGTAAATACTATTTTATCGAATTTCAGTAGAAATACGGAGAAAATATACTTTTTTTTTTTTTTTTATTACGTTTTAGGCTTACCAAACGGTCTTTTATATGAAGTATCGGAAGGTGGAGAAAATCTAAGTATAGGTCAACGGCAATTAATATGTTTAGCAAGAGCATTGCTCCGAAAAACGAAAGTGCTAGTTCTTGATGAAGCAACAGCTTCAGTTGATTTAGACACGGACGATTTAATTCAAACAACAATTAGACAAGAATTTAAAGATTGCACAATTCTTACAATAGCTCATAGACTGAACACAATTCTTGATTCAGACAGGTAATTTTTATAAAATTGTTATATATTTTTTAAAGTATTAATTAATATTGAATAAAACATATTTGGCAGGGTCATTGTTTTGGATAACGGACGCATTGTGGAATATGATTCTCCAGAGTCATTACTACGTAATTCGTCTAGTTTGTTTAATAGTATAGCTAAAGATGCAGGCCTTGCTACTTAGGTAAAGTGCATATCGCAAATACTGTACAAGCAATGAAATAATGATAATTTTTAATCTATAATAGAATATATAATAACAACACAAAAGATATAGCAATTTATTATAGAAAAACACAAAATATAGACTTAAAAGAATCTAAAATTTTGTAGAGTAACATTTTTCAATCAAATCTTATATCATTTTTAAATAATATCAAGCACAGCTCATTTGTAAAGTAGTACGGATATCCGTTACTTAAAGTACTGCCATTTTAGCAACATATCTTGTGCCGAGTAGCATAAATTTTTAAATGTATATATATTATTTTAGTAATTTTAAAAACATACCGCATCTCAGGCTTACACAACATACAACATTTATGTGACGTACAAAATAAAACAGTATTGTTTAATTATTTTTATTTTTCTTATACACTATTATATTACTTCTCTATTTTCGTTTTACATTACTAGAATGACCATAAACAGTCATGTAATATCATATACTTTTGCTGTTAATTCATCTTTGTTAAAATTGTTATTTCACTCTGTACTGTTTGACAAATATGATATATCTTCAAGCTGTGTAAATAGTATCCTCTAATATTTATGAACTTAAAAGAAAATAAAAAAAATTACAATTTTATATAATACGAATGTCTTGTTTTTTTATCATTTACTATTTTAATTCTCTAAATATAAATTAATTACGATATTATATATTACATAAACAAGATAATAGATTTCACCAGTGTCATACAATCTGTAAAATAATATAGTAAAATATAAATAAATTTTGTTTCACTTATAATTGTTTTCGTTTCCATGAACACCATTTAGAACATTGTATACAATCAAATTTATACTTTTCATCTTATAATAATTTATATTTCATTATTTTTAATTAATTTTAATAATTATTTTGAATAAATACTTACATAAACACAATTGTTGTTATAATATTAAATAGAAAATTTATGTTAAGATAGTTTTTTTTTACCTCAAAATAATTGTATTTTATGAATACATTATAAAGCTACTGTACATAACAATTTGTACCTTAAATTATTTATCAAACTGTGTTATTACTTTTTTATAACATATGTGCAAAAAATAGTTATTAAAATCACAATTATTATTATTTTATCTATGCATTACATAAAGATTATTTTTTGAAACTAAACGAAGATAAAGTACATTACTGCATTACGTCATTTCAAAGTCAGCATGTAATAAAAAAAATAAAATAATAACTTATGGTTTGTATTTCCATTTTATCTACTTGATTCAAAAATATAATATTATATTATTCTTGGTAATCATAATTAACTTAAACAATCATTGAAGATAGTAATTTATTAAAAACAATATAATTATAATTTTATCTAAGAGCAAGCACAACTTAATTTTTAACATATTTATCACGCAAATGTATTTAGAATTCATTATTTTTTGCAAAAATGGTTTGCAATATATATATATATATATATACACAGGATATTCCTAAATAAATAGGAAATACTTCATATGCTGATCCAGCAACTAAAAGCAATAAAAGAAGTTTATATAAATATATATCCTATTTTATCTTGACCATAAAAATTGCGAGTTTTATATTGTAAATATTGATACTCCAACAAGTAAAGCTGGTATTACTTATTCTGTTTCTGGAGTTGAACCAGTTCAGTACAGAATTAAGAGTAATGATATCAATGACATGTTTTTATGCATGTGGTGAAATACATGATAATCATTTTATTACCTGAAGGTGTTAAATCAATATGTAAAATATTTTCTACTTATTCAGAGAGATCCTGTATAGATAACAATAAACAAAATATTTATAAATAATTATTCAAAGTTCATTATATATGAATATGATATACAAAATATAATACTATTTTTTACTTAAATTACTCATTAAAATATTTGTGTATGTACGTAGTCCAACTGTACTCCAACTGTAGTCCAAATTGTTTCATATACATGCATATACACCAGTTATAGTTTGAAATATCTTTTACACATTGAAAGAAACTTTATATGTATTTAATATGGTATAAAGTAATGATTATTACAAAGCATTGAAACATAAACAAAGCATAAGTACGAATTTAAATCAAAGCACGATAACAATTGTTTTCTAAAAAGGGTATATGTTTATATCATTTTTTACAATCATAGATTTTTTTTGATATTTTGCCAAGTGCAATGGACATAGATATTGTTATTCAAGTCCATTAATATCTTCGTAAGACTTTTCAATTAGCTAGATTTTAAAACCAAAAGAATATATACATACACACATAGTTACATCAAACTCATAAAGGTACATATTAATGCGTATAGATATATCCTTTGGTACTAATAAATTTATTAATTTAAGATAAAGTTTGAATAATATATTCAATGCTAACATTATGTACCCAACATTACTCATTTTTTTTATTTACTTCACTTTTTGGACGATTTTTAATAGATTCTTGTTTTTTGTCTTTAATTGTTTTAGCTTCCATTTCACCAGAAAAACCATATTCATTTACTCTAGTATGATCAGTTTTGTATATCCATCTTTGGTATAAAAATATGAAGAAAACGATATCATCGCGAAAACAACCAATTCTATATAATGTTGGCATTTTTATAACAAATGCAAAGATATCATCAATAAACGTATTTAAAAATTTGTAAGACATCATGCGCCATGGAAGATGTGCTACACTTTTTAACTTATAATTAATAAATAATTGTGGTGTCATCATAATAAATCCAAATGTTAATAAAAACCCATAAAGCATACTAAGAACCCAAGAATACCATCCTTTATGTTCCAAATACATTAATGAATAAATTGCATATCCTCCCAAAAGAGGATGAAGTGTCCATGACAAATATTTAAAAGCAAGCCTATCATATTCTTTCGTAGAAGATTTTACATATGATCCTTTATCATGGAAACTTATTTTTGGAAAGATACCAAGTATTTTTGAATTTCTATCAACATTAATATTTATGACCTTATTGATTTTCCACACTTCTATGCACAGACCTATTACACAACTAATACGAATAATGGTATTTGTATCGTTGTCAACAACATATAATAAAATGATCAGTGATTGAAAAACATTGAAAAATACAGTATATAAAATTATTTATAATTTATTATAATTAAAAAATTTATTTTTTTTCTCACCATTTTTAAATGCTAAAAATTCAAATACACTGTGTAATACTGAAATAATTATTGTTAGGACCAACAAATAAGGATTTGTTTCTAATAATGTTTCTTTCAACATATCTTCATCATTGTCATCTTCATCTGTTGAATCTCCTATATAAAAATATTATTAAAATCATTTATACTAGTAAATCATTTTAATGATGAAGTAACATACCCATAAGCGAAGATGACCATATATTTCTCATTGTTTGGCTTACATAAATTTGCCACTTAAATAATGAAAGTGGTTGATAAGTTAATTTCAATTCAAGTTCTTTTACAGTATCATTTAGAGGCTGGTAATCTTTTTGCATATTCCAAAAATCATTCATGTATATTACGGGTTTATAGTATTTTTCACCAGGTAGAAAGTGAATATCTATTAAAAAACAATATTTATATACAGTTTTGGCAAATGGTAATTTTAAGTATTCAAGGAGAAACTCACATTTATCAAAAGGTGGTGAAATTAAACCATATAACCAATTACTGTGATCTATTACTAAATTAATAGTTAAATTTGGATGCCAATGTGATAAATATTCTTGATTCATTAGTTCCGCTTTCTATAATGAACATTTAACATTTTTAATTATATATTCCAGAAATATACCTATTCAATGAATTATAATATATATGAACCTCAATTTCTACTTTACTTGCGGTAGTTTCACCAGTTAACAAATTGTGCTTTTTCTGATACCTAATCTTTTTAAATTTATTTAACATTTTTCTAGAGTATGACATATAATCTCCTGCATATATATTTTTTCCCAGTTTAGGATTTGGAGATTTTCCAGTTTTTGTAACATACGCATGAAGATATATAGAGCCATTATTTTTTAATTGATCAGATGGATTAAATTTATAGCTTTTAACTTTTGATCCATCTTTAAGTGGTCCACTGTTCCAATCTCCATATATTAATCCTCGTTCTAACCATATTAATGTTCTTGGATCATCAAACTGTTTAAAATTTTCTGATTCTGATAAATAAACATGTAAATCAAATAATGTTCCATTTTCAAATATGTTTTCAGTTTGTAAGTGTGTTGGGTTGATATTGCCAGTCAATTGAGTATTATCAATTTGAACTCGTTTGAGCAAATGACTGATAAAATAAATAATGAGAGCACGTATAATTAACGATTTTGTAATAGCAAAAAACGATTCTAGCCATGTTGGTTGATGCTTCTTTGTTCTTTGTTCGTCAATATCTGCATTTACCTATGTATAAATAAAAATACAATTTTCAATAAACAGATTTGATAAAAATTAAATTTTGATTATAATTTGCAATATTATCCTCGAACAAAACAGGTTGCAGCGGTTATTTACATCACGATTATTATGTTATTAAACTGTCATATACATGTTAATAATAAATTTACAAACTTGGTGAGTTATGTGTTATAATAAAGCAAAATTTTCAAAAAGTTTTCATCTGAAACTAATACATGAAATATATGGCAATAAAACTGAACCTATTAGTTTTGATGAAGTACAAAGTACAATTCCAAAGATAAAATGCATTATGAAATAAGAAAATACAAAATAATATAATTAACACACATTTCTTTCTTCGTTGTTCTCTGCAGAAATTAATTCTCCATTTTGTCGATTATTATCCATGCTTTCTTTAATGTCTATTTTTTTACGATCGTGATTATCATTTTCAGCACCCACCATTTTTGTGTTCAGATTGTTTCTTATGTATTCCCTTTAGATTTTCAGAGGGAGTTACATGTACCGGATGTACGATATATTTCGTAAACCACATGCTTTATGACACTGAACTTGAATTTTTTATATTTAATTAAATAAATTAAAATATATATAATGAAATATTTATTGATCAATTATATTAGAATTAAATTTGTTTATAATATATATTTAAACTTGATGATATAAATAATTTATAATTACTATAACTTAAAATTATAAAAAATTAGCAACGAAATAAAAAATAATTTTGTTAATTTTTAATGTCCCCAAATCAATTTTTTATAATAAATATTATCCAATTGTATAGCTATCATTGAATGACTAGTAACATTTAGCTAATACAAACGACAGTTAATTAAGATTAAATCTAAAAAGTTATACATTCTGGCGGGTAATGTGACAACTTGAAACAGGTTAGATACAATCTGTTATTATCAATTTATTATTATAATAAAATTGTTTATATTATTGTATTACATCTCTAATTTAAAACTATGTGGTGCACAACGCCTGAAATTTCATGGCATAATCGTGATCCGGTATTAAGTATCGATATACAGACTGGAGTTTATAAAACATCGAAAGATGAAATTTTCTGGCGACTTGCGACCGGTGGTGCTGATTCGCACGTTCTGGTAATGTTGTGAGAACGATTTGTACATTACATATAATATGGAAATATAATTTTGAATTACTATTTTCAATTAGATATGGCATCTAACAACAAATGAAAATGGAGGTGCTATTGTAAAGTGCGTTGCCGATCTAGAACGGCATCAAAAAGCAGTAAATGTAGTGCGATTTTCACCCTCAAAAGATATTTTAGCTTCAGGAGATGATGGTTAGTCATATTATGAAAGATTGATTAAAAGAAAATTGATTAAAATTAAAATATATTTTAGAATCAACCATTGTTTTGTGGAGGCAAAAAGAAGATTGTGAATTTTTCATAATTTCTGATGATAATAAAGATAAAGAGCAATGGACTTCTTGGAAAGTATTAAGAGGACACCTTGAGGATGTTTATGATATCAGTTGGTCTCCAAATTCTAATATGTTAGCTTCTGGATCTGTAGATAATACAGCTATTTTGTGGGATGTTCATAAAGGTCGTTCTACAGCTATATTATCTGATCATAAAGGATTTGTACAAGGAGTTTCTTGGGATCCTTGCAATCAATATATATGTACTATAAGTACAGATAGGTAAAAATATTAAATTTTGGCATTACTTTTAGTACTTGTAATATATTCACTAAATAATATATTTTTAGGATATGTCGTTTAATTGATATAAATACTAAAAAGACAGTACAACGGGTTTATAAAGCCAAGATTCCAACTACAGTAGCTCATCCAATAAAAGATAAAATAGTACGGTTATTTTATGATGATACTTTTAAATCATATTTCAGACGATTAACATTTTCTATAGATGGATTATTACTTATTGTACCTTCTGGTATAATTGAGCCTTTAGAAACTACAGAAAGAGTATCTAATACAACTTTAATTTTTTCAAGACATAATTTGAAAGAGTAAGTTTATTTATACTAATGTATTATATTACATAATACATATAACAGATAAATGTATTTTTAGACCCCTTATGCTTCTACCTTCTTTGGATGAATGCACTATTGCAGTACGATGTTGTCCAATCTATTTCGAATTACAAAAGACTGGTCCAACACCTGTGATAACACTGCCTTATAGAATGGTGTTTGCTGTTGCAACACAGCACTCAGTAATGGTTTATGATACCCAACAAATTTCACCAATAGTTGTAATATCAAATATTCACTATACAAGATTAACTGATGTTGCATGGTAAATAATGATTACTTATATTACTTACTTATATTACTTACCATTTTTATTATATAAAATAGGAAAAAAATAATCTATTTATAACTTTTAGGTCAAGTGATGGTAGAATTTTAATTGCTTCTTCGACAGATGGTTATTGTTCTATAATAAATTTTCAAAAAGGTGAATTAGGTGAAGAATATAAAAAACAAAGTGACATCCCAACAAAACATACCAGTGATAATGATCTTAAAGAAGCTACATCAAATTTTGCTATTAGAAGTGAGAAACCTTTACCAACTACTGATATAGATAATAGTGCCATTGATATAGATATTGCAAAAAATGACTCAAAAGAAAATTTGTACAAGACTTCAGAAAATTCTTTAAATCAGAGTAATAGATTATTGGACCATACTAATCAGAAAATAGATTTAAATAATAAAATGGACATAGAAGAGACTGAAGATATTAAATTAGTTTATAATGAAGAAAGTACTAACGGAATTAGTAAAACAATTACAAAACATATACCTAAAAAATTAGAAATTCCCATAATAATCCCTAATAAAACACCTCGAAGAGTACAATTAATTACACTTTCTAGTCCAAAGGGACTCAAAAAGGAATAATCTTAAGTCTAAAATGTGACTAATAATTACAAAATATTAAAAAATTTATGTACCTTTGTAATATTCCTTTTTATATTTTTTATTATTATAATAAATATCTAAATTATAGATGTAATTTGTCTGTTGTTCATTTAATTTATTTTACAGAAACATTTAATTTATTATGACATTCATTGTGTAATGCCATATAATGAATAAATTAATCGTTGTAATCAATATAATGTTTTTATTTGTGTTTTAATATTTGTATTGAAAGATGTAAGTTTTGTATTGAAAAATATAAATTTTGACTTAATAAGTTACACAATCTATTAATTATTGCAGTTGATAAAGTACATTTACAATATCATGTTTAGTCTCATGATATGTTTCAACTATTGCGAGTACTATAGCATCAACATTGTCACCTGTTAAACTTAGAATGGATATTATATACCTACGAATAATAATATGGCGTATCACAGTGATCAAACTATTCGTTGAGTCAGACAGTAGTCGAATCGTAGTTCGTCCTGACACATTTTTTTATCTTTAAAAATTTACATCATTAACAATGGTAAGTATTTTATTTATTATTTATCATTGTTAATATTTTCGTATTGTCAATGATATGATTACAAACTATAATTACATACGATAATTATAATCAATTATAATTTAAATTATTTTATATATAAATAATGAAAATAATGAATTTTATTTGAAAAAATATACCGAACATTATAAAATCGCTATAGGTAATTATTAAAAAATTGTATAATGTAAATATCTAAATTAAATTACATCATTAATAGAAAAAATTGGTAGCAATTGTTGTAGTACAATAGTTTGGAAATTGTATTAACATTGTGTATAGCCAAGATATCATGTAATTATAATATACCAAGCTTTCTTTGACTTTTAATCGACCGATTAGAGGACTGTCAATAGTAAATCGTATGTAAGAGAGTTTTCAAAGTTAAAACCTTACACAATAAATACATATTTCATGGAATCAAAAGATCGATCTTTAATTATCATAGCATGCAATCTTATAGAAAAATTCTAATTTACACACTCTAAATTTTAATATTTGAATCGAAAAATTTATTATGCAGTCCTATTGCTTAAATAATTTTCATTTTTATTTTGAAAAAATACATTAAAAATACTGGCAATTATACAAAGTAAATTGCTTTTCACTGCAATTAAGTGCAAATATTTCGATATTAACGTTTACAATAAAAAATCATTTTATATAAAATCATTAAATTTATTATCATAAATTCTAGAAAGTATATTGTAAAATATTTATATTTATTAAAAAGAAAAGGGAAAAGAATCTAATATCTCAGTCAATAAGATTATTTCAGCATTAATTTACTTGAATTATTAAATATTAATTATTAACATAAAACACATTTTTTGTATACTCGAGAAACTAATCTTCTCTGGATTTAATTGTATTAAATTTAACAGATGCATATATGTATATTTGAAATCATAATATACATATATACAAATGATCGATCAAATTTGTGGGTGTTTCTTACGCTGCGATGATTACCTATTTGGAAAATTACAAAATTGTACTACATATGAAATAATGTTCGATCAAGCTGCTATGGTTACAGTGTGTCAACCGGTAAAAATCGATTTTTAACGTGATACACCTAGAGAATATGAAATACCGGAAAAGACTATGCTCCGTATTACATAGCGACAACGAATCTATCTCTATAACTATAACGATGAAACGTTCTTTTTTACTCTCCAATTGAATTATTAAGCAAAAACATGGTAGGTCAAGGTAGGAAAACTTTGCAACTTACTGACAGTTATAAGATCACTTTATGTCGATGGGATTTCGACATGTCAGTTGGTAATCACATTCTGTTCAGTGCTTTAACTAATTTAGTTTAAGTAATTCGTCTGTTTTATTCTTCCGGCGTCATTTAAACGATTGGAAAAACTTGATTAAATAATATCTAGTGTTCTTTCAATAATGAAAAGTATACTTCTATGTCTTTCTAAGAAATAAAAATAACTTGTACAGCTTATACAATTCGAAATATTTTACGAAGAGGAAATATCTTACATTCACATAAATATTAATTAAATATAGTAGACGAGTATAAAAAGGATATACATATTACAAATGAGTCTAAGATTCATTCAGATATTATTTTAAACAATTTTTTCATTCCTATTTTGCATTTTTTATTAAACGCAACGATTCAAAATAACAGACAGCAAAAGCGTTCTATTAAAACATTATGGCAAAAAAGGTGTGACATTTCAAGTTCCAATAATGTTAACATGGATAGTGCATTTAGGCGGTTTTTCAATAATTTTCTTCGATTATTGATTCTAAATTAAATGTGTTAAAATTTCCTCAGCTTCTTACGACTTTAATGTTGTTTAATTTCTGTCACAACTAAGTTAAGAAGTTAAATATAATTATTATCTACCTGACATCCTCATCTACAATTTATTACAGCGGGAATGCATATCCATTCATATTGGACAGGCTGGCGTTCAAATGGGTAACGCTTGCTGGGAATTGTATTGCTTGGAACATGGAATTCAACCTGATGGACAAATGCCCAGTGATAGTACTGTGGGTTATGGAGATGATTCTTTTAATACGTTTTTTTCTGAAACAGATTCAGGAAAACACGTTCCGAGAGCCGTCTTTGTGGATCTCGAACCAACAGTAGTAGGCGAGTTTATTAATGAAAAAGTTTCGATTGTCAAATTTTGTTTGACTAGCATGCGATTTCTTTACCTAAAAATCTTCGTAATACTTTAGATGAAGTTCGTACAGGCACATATAGGCAATTATTTCATCCGGAACAGTTAATTACGGGGAAAGAAGATGCGGCAAATAATTATGCGCGAGGTCACTATACGATAGGTATATACAAAGTAATTAAATAGAAAATCAAAGTTTTCTTCTTTTTCTGTTAACTGATAGATTTTATTTTTTAGGAAAAGAGATTGTGGATCTCACTTTAGATCGAATTCGTAGACTCATCGAACGATGCAAAGGTTTGCAAGGTTTCTTAATTTTCCATTCGTTCGGCGGTGGCACAGGTTCAGGCTTTTCCAGCTTACTCATGGAAAGATTATCAGTCGATTATCCTAAAAGAAGTAAATTAACTTTTAGCATTTACCCTGCGCCTCAGGTAAAAAACATATTAAATATAAAAAAATGTGATCATTTGTTGGTAATGAATCGTGATAACTATACGTTGTACGTATATGTTACGTAATGCATCAGGTATCAACTGCCGTTGTAGAGCCATATAATGCAATTCTTTATACGCATCCAACGTTAGAGCACTGCGAAGTAGCTTTCATAGTTGATAATCAAGTATGTATTACCATTCAATATTTGCAATTCTTACGATCAGTCATTGTGTAAACTTAAAATATAATTCCATCTTTTGCAATACCATATTTGTGATCGATAACAATTTACAGGCTATTTATGAATTATGTAGAAGAAACTTAAGCATTGATAGACCAACATATACAAATTTGAACCGTTTAATTGGTCAAGTTGTTTCATCGATAACCGCAAGTTTACGATTTGATGGTGCTCTTAACGTTGATCTTACCGAATTTCAAACGAATTTAGTACCATATCCACGTATTCATTTTCCTCTCGTAAGTCAGTAATAAATTTTTGTAATTTTATTACAAAATATTATTATGCACAAGCATATAATATATTCCGAATATTTTAATACTACATTAAATAGTTTACATTTTGTAGGCGACTTATGCTCCTGTTTTATCGGCTGCGAAAGCGGGCCATGAGAGAATTACAGTAGCGGAAATAACAAATTCGTGTTTCGAACCAAATCATCAAATGGTGAATTGTGATCCACGTAGAGGTAAATACATGGCAGTATGTATGCTTTATAGAGGAGATGTTGTTCCTAAAGATGTAAATGCAGCGATTGCAACAATTAAGAGACAGAAACATGTTCAATTTGTTGAGTGGTGCCCAACGGGTTTTAAGGTTTGATATTAATTCTATAGATAGTATTTTTTGGAAATAAACAAAGGGAAATAGGATAAAGATTTTGTTAAATTTTATCAAATAAATAATTTATGATTGTTTATGTTTGTATAGGTAGGAATAAACTATCAACCACCTACTGTAGTGCCAGGAGGCGATCTTGCAAAAGTAGAAAGAGCTGTGTCTTGCCTTTGTAATACTACTGCAATAGTTGAGGCATGGGCTAGAATTGATCATAAATTCGATTTGATGTATGCTAAACGAGCGTTTGTTCACTGGTAAGTTACTATCTTTGTCACGTACGTATATGTATATCATATGTATATGTAAATTTTTTAAACCATAGGTTTGTCGGAGAAGGTATGGAGGAAGGTGAATTTGCAGAAGCGAGAGAAGATTTAGCAGCTTTAGAATTGGACTATCGTGAAGTCCAAGAAGACGCTGCTAATACTGAAGAGGAAGAAGAATATTGATTAAAAAAATCTATCCAAGATATATTATTTACATCAACTTTTTAATTAAAATATAATAAATAATATTATTAACACCTAAGAATTTATGCATTTGCATCATAATTATTTCGTAACAAGCACAATTGGACGGTGTTTATTAACAGGTTGCGAGCGAATATTAAATGCGATTACCTTATTTGTGTATATTTTAACTTTGTATAATAAAGATTCTTTAGACCATTTATAAAATAAATAAATATCTAACAAATAAAAATTTATATTACGTTTTCATTTGTTTTGTATTTTGAACAAATGAATTTTAGAGCCACTACTACATTAGTTAGTTCGAACTAGTAAAAATTGAAACCGATTTTCATGTTGAATATCAATGTTAAAAAAATTAGATGTTTTAATTCAGAAATAGTTTCTTTACACTATTATTAATGTTAAGAGAATTTTAAGTTTAGTTTAATTAAATTAACAAAAATTTTATTAACTACTTAAGGCAGTAACCTAAAAGATAACACTTTCTCTTCGGACAAATACCAACATACATTTAATTATATTCCTAGAACAAAATGTAGTAAATTTATTTTTGATATGATCTAATTTTTTTAATGGTCTTGTACGATATTTTAATAATCATAAATCTTATTTTTTTATCGTTATTAGTGTAACAGTATATCTATATGAAAAGAATTTATATGCAATTGTATTAAAACATATCATTATGTAAAAACAAAGTATTATCAATTGATTTGCTCCACTATTACGTATAAAACTGTTTTTCCATTCTAAACGTCAGATTGCCATGAACATTTGAAAACATTAGAATTACAATAACAGAATACTATTCCTTAATTAAATAATGTAATACAACTTTGTTACATTTTATGAAACTTCTTGTAATACGCTTAAGCATCATAGTAAAAATAAGAATTTGCTATAGTTTATGATACTTAAATTATTTAAATTAAAAGTGTTACAATGTTAAACCAACAATGTGCAATTTTAACTGTCATTGACTCATACATCGAGCCACTTTTAAACCGTGTATTAACGACGGACAAACTTGGTTAGTTCTACTTCATAAAATATGTTGTAATAAATTATAATTGTGTTATTATATTCCTCTATTTTGTTAAAGGGATTTGTTGTGAAGCAATTAAGGTAGATTCCATGTCATCCAGTTGTGGAAAATTTCAAGGAGATCGTTTTAAATTATCCATTCCTTATGCTAAACAAAATTTAACTTGGAATGTATTTTTTGATTCACAGTGCCCAGAAATGGGTCCTGATTTCATATTTAATGATAATACTTTCTTAGCAGATATGGATGTAGACACTTTATCTGTCAAAGTACCTAGTCTTGCTAAATGGAATCCTAATGATGGAAATGCATTATTAAATGTCCTTATGGAACTTTTGTCATGTTATAAACAACATCAGGTTTGTAATTTTATATTCATAAATTTCATTAGTGACCTATATTAAATTTCATACATTTTTCCTTTACTTTAGATACAATTACTTCAGAAGCAATCTCGATTGCAATTGGAATATAATATGCTAATGGAATCAACCGAAATAAAACCAGAAGATGTCGAGATCATATTGTTACCTTGTAGTTCTAAACCAGTAGAAGCTAGATTTCTAATAAGTTTATCAGTGGATCTGTCACAATTACAAATTCGTACTTGCAAGTCAGAGAGTGATGTCGCAATACTTCTTATAATATTTTCCGGAGCAGATTGGAGTCGTATTACTCCACAGCTTGATATTTCAAAATCTTTAGAAAAAATTTTTAGTGGAACAGGTGCATTATATTTACCCTATTTTGTACCTGATACATGTTTGACACATTATGTATCAAATATAAAAAGATACATAGCAGCAAAGGTATTTAATTCATTTTAATTATATTTCGTAATCATGTTGCGATTATTAATAAAATAAGTTTTATTGCAGGTAAACTCAATTGTTCAAAGTTTAGAAAAAAGAAGAGAATATATAACAACATTTTTAGCTTTAAAACGTAAAGCTTGTATAGAATTTGATACTATAAATTGTAATTATGTAACATGTTTATTGACTGATGATGGCTTTTCTACAGTATTGCATATTCAACTGCCATTAGGATTTCCTCAAGAACCACCTATGATTGAATTACATTCAATATATCATATGACATCACAGCATATTTTTTACAGTGAAAAAGTAAAAAGTTATCCCTACAATAATACATGGTCATCAAAAATTATGATTTTAAAATTATTTAAATATATTAATAATATTATTAAAAAATTTAAACTTAATTCTATTAAAAATTGTTCTGAAACTCAAAGTTAGTTTATTAAATAAGATAATTTATTGCAATTGTTTGTAATGTTAATATAAATCTCTTTTTTACATATTTGTAGTTATCCTTTCTAAACAAATCCTATGTAAAAATAATAAGTACGACATAAAAAATATAATGTTATTTATATAAAAAAACAACCAAAAAGTTCCTTTTCACTAATTGTGATATAATGTTTGTGTTTTAAATAATTAATAACAATAAATAATTTTATGACACGTAATTCTATATTTTAATAAGAAAAATCTTGATATATTCGTATATGTATTTTGATAATATTAAAAAAAGAATTTTTTTAAATTTGTGACATATTTAAGTCTCGTGGTTCGATTAGTTCGTTATTAGATGAAGTATAAATTAAAGAAAGATTTTGAAGAGTGTTATAAAATTAATGTTATATATATTATTTTTAAGTGTAATTATTGAATACTATTACTGAACAAAAATAAGCCTTTTAAGGTTAATATCTGTTCATATTAACGAGAGAAATTATCAACAAACCATAAGAGGTTATAATATTTTTCATTTTATATTTGTATGTAATAAAATTAATAAATGATTTGTATTATGGGTTATACAAAACTGCTTTTGTCTAATAATAAATTTATTTTTTCTTTTGGAAGAAAATCATACACTGTTGCAATGAAATACTTAAATCAAACAGAAAGTATCAACATTGACAAAGATTTATTTGAGAAATACAAATTCAGTGTCGATCAGTTAATGGAACTTGCTGGCCAAAGTTGTGCTGTTGCTATTGCTAGTACTTATTCATCACTTAAAAACTCTACATACAAAATTTTGGTTTGTTGCGGTCCAGGAAACAATGGTGGTGATGGACTTGTCTGTGCTAGACATTTAAAACAATTTGGATATTTCCCAGAAATTTATTATCCTAAAAGGACAAATAATACATTATATGAAAATTTATTACATCAATGTATTGAAAATGATATTCCTTTATTGACAAATAATTTACAAAATATTGCTTCAGAGCAATTGCATCAGTTTGGTTTTATAGTAGATGCATTATTTGGATTTAGTTTTAAACCACCTGTAAGGGATACATTTATACCTATAATTCGTCTATTAGAAAATACCAATATTCCAATTTGTAGTATAGATATACCATCAGGTTGGAGTGTTGAAGATGGACCACCTGTAGACGGTGGAATAAAACCAGAAATGCTTATATCATTAACAGCACCAAAATTATGTGCTCAAAAGTTTAAAGGAAAGTATCATTATCTAGGTGGCCGATTTGTACCTAAAAAATTAGAGAAAGCATATAATCTTAATCTACCTGAATATACAGGAACTGACTTAATTGTTCCATTAAATTAATTGTTTGTATAATATTATTTGTTTTCATTATGAGGAAATATAAAAAAATCTGCACTAAAAATATGTATACATATAATAATTAAAAATAAAATATGTTTAAATCATTCAAACAATGAAGTTGTTTCATGTTTATATATGTCCAATTTTCGTTGAAAATACTGTAACTATTGTACCTATGTATAAAATAAACTTAAACAGTAATCATATTTTAATGTGTATTGTGAGATTTATTATATGTTATTGGAATTTCTTTTATTTCATTTCTATTGAATAATTTAAATCTACCGCTATATACATACTATATTATTTTCAGATACCTAGATGGCGGTTAGAGTCTAACAAATTAACTTATGTACACCTATCTTCGATATAGTATAAAATACATGAACGATTAGTAGGCGGTACGATCCAAGTGACGTTTAGTTAATATTGAATTCATTATAAATAGTTATTGTTTTTTTTATAATCAAGACTATATAACGTACAGTATAAATTAATAAGTTTAAGAAATGGTAAGTGTGTATTACATTGTTTATTTATAAATAAATTAATTTATACATCTCATCATATCTTTTCTAAGGCACAAGAGGTAGAAGAAACTATGAAACGTATACAATCACATAAGGGGGTGGTTGGAACAATTGTAGTTAATGCAGAAGGTATATTGCATTTTAATATGAACATTTTATATAATTGTTATGTAAAACTTAAAAAATGTTTATATAGGTATCCCAATTAAATCTACATTGGATAACACTACAACAGTTCAATATGCAGGATTAATAAGTCAACTGTCAGACAAAGCACGATCTGTAGTAAGAGATTTGGATTCAACAAATGATCTCACATTTTTACGTATTCGTAGTAAGAAACATGAAATTATGGTTGCTCCGGATAAAGAATTTATACTTATAGTAGTACAGAATCCAGTTGACTGATAACTAAGAAAAACATTAATATATATTATATCCTTTGCTAAATGTTAATGAATTATTTTATATAGTACATTTTAACTTCATAATCTATATAATATAAAGTCTGGAATGGAATAATGTTTGGGTTTTATTCACAAATTAATAGTAGAATATGTATTCTATATTATCATTACCAAATGGTAACTATAACTGAAATTATAGTTTATTAGATTTAATATGATTAAAGCATTTGTGTTATATAATTAACTTCATATTACTGTTTTAAATAAATTTTGATTAGACCAAGCTTAATAAGTTTTGATATTTATTTAAAAAATAGCTTCATCTATATAATATTTCAGATGATTTTAAATATTTTTAATACTTTTATATATGCGTCTGTGTGTATGTATGTTCACACAATTTTAATTATAATTCTATGTAGAAAGATATATAATACATAAATATTACAGGAAACACTGATTTTATTTATTATAAAAGTATATAAAATACATTATAAATATATACATAGTAGAGAATATAAATTTACAATATTTAAATTTAGTTAATATTTATCAATTTATCATTTAATTTTTATATATGTATTTGTTCTATATATTCATATATATTAAAAAGTGGTTAACAATTATATATATATAATTATTATTATAGTGAACACAAAATTATTTACTGAAATAATTTCTCCTACTTTAAAATTTATACCAAGTACAAAATTTATAATAATATAAAAATATTACAAGTAATTAATAAAAATAAATAAATACTATTACAAGTTACATATTTATACAATTTTTATGTATAGATGTGTTGAAAAATTTATGAAAAAATCAATTACAATTATACATTTGTACAACTTTGATGTTTTAAGGAAGGATGGAAAACACCATAATAAACAATCATGGCTGTTATACCTAATAAAAAAGGTATGATGCAAAGAATAATGAGTACATTAAAGTACCAGGAATTTTTAACGTCGTTTGATGAAATATATATCCAAAATACAGTTGCTGTTATATTTTCAAGGAAACATACTATATAAAAGAAGACATGTTTAAGAAATGTACTACCATCTACTGCATTTAGATATATGAATATGTGTATTACACCAATTACTATAGAAAATAATACAGAATAAATGCGCTCTTTGATGTTTGGGGAACAATGTGGAGCATGATTAGGATCCCTACAAAATTCAAGTATACCATGTGAATCAATAAGAATCCAAGTAGTCATACTTATCCAATGAATGATACAACCAATGGCAGTATAAATTGGCCATATACTTGCCAAAACACTTAAGGACAATATCCTCGATACTAGAAAGTTGTTTATAGAGTTCAAGTTTTAATTTTTTTATATGATAATAATAATATACATACCTGTTGTACAGAAATGCCATAAAAATTGTAGAATGGTTCCTGTAATACCAATGTTTAATTTATCTTGTTGAGCCAACCTAATACTACGATGATAACTAGCCATTGCCCATCCCATACTTCCAAGTGAGCTAAAGATACTAGCTACTTGATGAATAACTACAATATAGATAATAATCAATTTTATTTTGTTAGCTAATATTATAACATTAGGTATTTAAAAATATATCTACATTCAAAATTAATATTACTGTGGTAATGTTTCAACAATATAGTTAATTGTAAAATTTGCTGTGGTGCGGCCTCAAGAAAACATTCAGATACTCTTAATAATGCCACATCTTGATCTTCTTTAAGCATCTTAAGGTAATATCGTCTTTGAGCATTACGTTCACCTAGTTTTTCAAATTTATAGGCTTTAAGAGCATATCTTAAAGTTCGGTAATATCGTAGTACAGGTGCCAACTGAAATACTATAAGTATAATGCAACATAACTTTTTTGTTAACATTGTGTGTATACATTTAAGTTTGGAAGTATTTGATATTGCACTTTTCTAAAAAGAGAATAATACAAATTATTTAATTACATAAATGATTTTATTTAATATAACTTTTACCTTGTCATCTTGCTGTTGCATTCTTCTACTGATTATAACATTTATAAATGAAGGTAAAAAAATAAATATAGTTGTCCATATAAAGTATGTTATTTTCTTAGCTAATAAATATCTTATAGCAAGATTTATATCAATTGCCATATCCACAATATGCATTAGAATTGAAGATACAAGGAAAAAGATATCCAAGCAAGATACATTAGGATTTTTTAAAGGAACATCTACATCATCGGTATTTAACTCTAACACTGGGAAAATACCAATAACTTGTCTTGTATGTAGGTGTTTATTAATTTGAGATTCCATATTTAATTATTATCAAATAATGTCTAGCAACATTATTAAAATCAAATATCAAGAGATATTAATTATAATTCTTGTTTTATTCATATTTCATAACATATTTTTATTGTAAAAATAACCTTAATATAAAGATACTATTATTTTTTAATTTTCGTTGTCTTATTTATTTCATAATTTTTATAATATTAAATATTACTTTTGGTTTTACTAATTACCTGTAATACAAAATAGTTATTTATATATTTTAACCAATATATAAATATAATTTAATATATTTTGCAAATAGAGTTATCCATACCTCATTTTTCAATTAGGTAATACGTCACTAGTTTAAATATAATTGTTTAAATATAAACATTCGTAAGAGATTCAATAAAAGTGAATTGCCCAATAGTATCATTATACTGCAATTCATAAGTATATAGGTAAAAGATAATAAAAAATTATATTTTCATTTGTAATCACTTTTCTTTATTTTTTTAAAGTGCATTGTTTTTTTAAACTATCAGATGTCATATTGGAATGTTTGGTACTTGACGTAACTTTCGTATGTTTAAATTATCTAAACGGACCAGTATGGACTTAATAGATAATTTTAAGTATCTAGATAAGAACCATAAAATTAAAACGAGCAAGTTAAGAAAGTTTACATATATACAATTATTTTGCGAAAATTAATACCGAACGGTAATAGTACTACTAAATAATAAGAAATGAATAATAAAAAAAGAACAATTTTATTTTTTTCGAGGATTTATATTCGGTAGCTATAAAGTTACCTGTAAAGTTATATTAAAGTAATAAAAAATAAATAAAAAATATATAATCATTAAATTATCAAATAAACTTTATGTTCGTTTTTATACATATAGTTTCAATAATTTGTACAAATTGATTTATTGTAATTTATATAATGTCAAATTTTTGTTCTCCTTATGAGGACTAAACATATCCTTTTTTTTAATTTAGGAATTAAAACATATCCTTCTGAATAAATTATAATTTTCTTAATACATCAAATTTTTCATTCTAATGCATTAGGATTTTTGTATCTTATTTGTATTAGAATATATTACTATTTTGAATTTTATTGTTTATTCCCATACTTACCTAAGTTATGTATATTTAAAGTTATTTGAATGAATAATATTTATGTAGAAAATACTGCTGAAGTTATGAAAAATTTCAATATATTAGATCAAGTTTAATAAAGATATATATTACGCATATATATATGTATCTGTTATTTCAGGTTTCCGTAGCAACCTATGGTATATAGTAATAATTATAACCAGAATTGTGATTTTATGAATTATTATACATTATTATCACAGAGTGAATTATTTTTTTGTAACAAATGAGTACAATAAATACAAAAAGATATCTAGTCACTATAATTATACAATATTTAGTATTACTTTTTGATATTTTTGTGAATTCATTTGCTACTTTCTCCCGACCAAATGCAATTAATTTATTAATTCTTTATGTGTATGTTATGTTTTTACTTTTAATATAACAAATAAATGTATATCTGAATTGTACCCGATTTTTGCTTTTAAGGGCTCAAGATATTTGTCTTATCATGACTGTCACAATTCTACTAGTTAACTTCTTTTCCACTTACATTTTTCAGGTAATTATTATCAATAATAACAAAATTTGATAATTAGTTTTTATATAATATTGTAAAAAGTATATGTTTTTCATGCAGATAGGATTAATACAATTATTATATACAAAATTTCGTGTAACATTAATATTGTGTATCATATATATGATATTAAGTATAAGTCTACATATATGGGATATTAAAATGCATTGGGCATCATCTTTTAGATGCTACTGGACTAAAGATTTTCATATTCTTTACTCATTACATAGAGGAGGTAACAGTTTTAGTTAATTTTATATACATAATATTTTTGCAATTTTTTTAAACTTAGTTATGTTAAAGTTGCAGTTTTACACTATTATTTCTATAAAAGGGCATCTCTTAGAATCGCAGATCCAAGATTCTATGAAAGTTCAACATGGATTCAGAGTCAGTTTAGCCTTTCATAATTAAAGTCTACAGTTACAATAAAGAAACTAATAAGAAATTTTCATTTGAAATTGATGAAATGTAAAACAATGAAGAAACAGGCTTTTTAAAATTTGTTTAAATACATATAAAACATAAAAATTAAGTGATATAACTGTATGACATTCCATAATTTTAATCTAAGTTTTTCAAAGACTTTGGTATATGCTATAGATGTAATATACAATAACAATAAAATTTGAAAAGTATTTTTAAGAATAATTCACTTTATATACAGTATAAAAAGTATTATAGTAAAGTACTTTTTACAATTGTTATTATTTTACAAAAATAAAATGTAAAATCTTGTACAATTTGTTATAAATATAGATATTAATCTTTAAATTAATAAGGAGTATACATATGTGTAACTCATATTGTACAACATTACATTACATTTAAGCACTAAATTATAAGTCATTAAACAAATAAACATACAAAATGTATTAATAATATAGATGTTTTTCACAATTCTATTCTTCATGTTATAAAATATTGATTTTGTACTATTTTAATATTCTAAAAATATAAATTAATATCACAAGAACATACTTCTTGAAATGGAAAATGATCAATTAAATGATGTATCCATTAAAATCGCCACCTTTATCATTAATAATATTAATAAGAAGAAATTGAAAAATCAATTTTCATAAGTTGATATAAAGTTTACAATATTACTTAATTTAACATTTTAACTTTAAGTGAAGTATTAACAGTATTTCTTTGTAAAAAATACAAAGATCGTATAAAAAAATTTAATTTTGCATTTTTATGCAATATTTACAGCATTAAAATTTTATTTTCAATGCTCTATAACATCTAAAAATTTTTATAAAACTTAATACACCATATGTGTTACAAATGGAAAACTATTATTTGTTATTATTTTCTATAAATAACACCTTTTTTTACATAGTTTTTATTATCTTTTAAGTTGTTTAATTTTCAGTGCAATTGTTTTGATAGCTAAACTTCTTTTGAAAATGATAATGTTTCATTATTGTAAGCCTATTTGAATGATAAAAAAGACATATTTCGTTATATTATACTTCATTAATACTCCTAAATATTTAAATATTTTTTCATTTGAAATACTATTTTAAAATATGAAGTTATATTAGTCTTTTGTGAAAATAAATATATTTTTCTTGCAAAACATTTAACAAATATATTTATACATTTTCTAATTTTAATTTTTACTTTTAGAATATATAAGATTTGGATTATTCAATAAAAGTAAAAATGTAAAATGTAAGCTTTATACAGTGGCTGAATACATTGTACATCATAAAATTAGAGTACACTGATATTATATTAAAACTTATTTAATTAATTAGCAACTGGCTTGGTTTATTATTTTGTTCAAATTTGCCAAGAAGCTCCATTTTAAATTTAGATTATGTAGAAGTTCAACGTCATAATTTGTGAAATTTCTGTGCAATTTATTACTTTCTTCATACAGTATGATTACCATGAAGAAAAAGTAACTTATCTATTAAATGAGGAGGTAGGGCTGTACGCCTTGTATCGTATAAAACTTGCATTTCTGCTGGAATTCTAGAGGGTGGTGCACAACATGCAGGTACACAGTTATATTTACAAGCCAATTTACCCAAATTTGGGCATTTTGCAGAAATTTTTGCCCACCATTGTAGAGGGCAATAGTCAAGTGGTGCAGTAGACTCAGAATGATATTGTACAAGTTCAAGATCCGCTTTTTCTTCTGCTGGCATTCCACTTTTTACTGAACATAAACCTCCAAGTAAAAGTTCCATACCTGAGTATAATTAAAACATATCTGTCTTGTTAAAAAATTAGAAAAATCAAAGTTATTACATAACTCAGAATATTTACCTGATAGACGACTTTTCTTATTTAAGGGTTCTTCTTCAACTTTGATATTTATACTATCACCAGATTCTTCTTGTATTAGTTTTGTTAACATTTCTTTTATGTCAGTTGCTACTGAATTTTTATCTTCTTCAGTAGCATATGGTAATTGCTTAAATCTAATATATATCATACAATATTAATTGTGCTTTTTTTTTTTAGAATAGTGATTATCTCAATAGTAATGTACAATTACCTTGGATCTAAAGTGGTTGCAATTTGAAGTAAAAGTGTAACATTGTAATCAGCATATCTATTGCACAGCATATCAGATAAAGATTCTTTGAAAGACTTTGCTTTTTCACTATCACTTTCTTTTATTTTAAGGTGAGAAGATACAAGTTGCCAAAGTAATGGTTTTAATAAAGATATTAATGGCATTTTTTCCTCACTGAGTGTCATAATAGTAACTTTAAATGGTTCAAGTACATTTACAAGATCTTCTACAATCTTCCACTGTTCATTTGTTAAATCAACTATTTCTTGATCAACACCTTCCATACTTTCCAAAATTGATGTTACAATATTACGACGTAGAACCATTTGTTCGAGCATATTATATGTTGATGTCCATACAGATGGATAATCCATTAACATAGCATTTTCTTCCAACTATAGTCATATAAAATATAATTCAAAGTAATTATTAACATAATTTTTTAACTTATTTAGAATAAAACTCATTTACTTACTTCCAACAATTGTTCTTGCATAGATAATGCTGCAGATGCAGCTGGATGGCTTATAATAGCTCCAATAGCTGCTCTACATTTTGATAATATGGAAGCAACTTCTGGAATTTCAAAGCAAGCTTGTGCACAAACCTGCAAGGTATAAAGCAAACAAGGAACTAATGTTAATCCTCGATTTGCTAAAGCAGTCAATAATTCTGTTCTGGATGTGGCTATTACTACTGCAGTTATCCTTTCTATTTTCAGATCCCAATCAAGTAACAAAGAATCTATTGTATTCCCCCATTGAGATTCTTCCCAATCTAGGGGTGCATGAATTGTACTTAATACTTTACATTCTAACACTGGTTCACCAGAATTTTGATAATACACAGAAACAGTAACAAATCGTTCATCAGAATTTGATCTCCATTCTTCAATAGTCAAACCTACTTCACTTACAATACATGATAGAGTTGTTGCTACTGATTCTCTGAAAGTATCATAAATCTTTGGTATTATTTCTTCTTCTAATTTATTTTTACTAGGAATTTCACAGGGTGAACGTAAAGTTGCAACTAGTCTTTGAAAACCTCGTCCTTCTACTACTTCTGGTAATTGTAAATCCATTATAATAAATTCTGCTATAGCATCTGATACAGTCTTCCCATCAATACTTGACTGATTAATAGAATTATCTTCTGGCATGAAAAAAGCCACGTTTTGACTATTGTTTCCAATGTTAGAACCACTTTTAATCATAACTCTTAAAGGTTGACCAATTGTGATATCATTTTCAATATTGGATAAACTTACATTTGGATCAGTCACAAATTGAATATCTCCATCTATCTGAACAGTACCATCTGCATTGGTGGTATAAATATGTTGGGCAGAAGTTAAACCTGCTTTTAATAATTTCTTTTGTGCCCTTCTTTCTTTTATTTCTTGAGAAAGTATTTTGCGTGGAGGATTAGTTGCTTCCAGTTCTAAAAGTTCTTGTGCATGTTTATTTTGCAAATGCATACGTAAATTACTGGTATTACGATTATATGCAATTTGAGTCTTACATAATATGCAAACAATTTTTACTTTAGTGAGAATATCTCCATCATCTGTAGCTGGAAATCCGAAAAATTTCCAGTAAATACTTCTCATTGACATAGGTACTACTAATTTCTTATAAGTATAGGTATACTTTTCTTCCATCATTTTAGCGAGTACCATTTGCATCTCGCTTTTCGAATCATCTGTCGTTGCAGATTTTCCGTTGTTAGGCAATGATATTGATTTATTTTCCATAATTATTAACGAAAATACATAAGTACCGGTACGTCTTATTTTTATGTATTAAAATATACATATACAATATTTCTTGCAATTCTAATATCTCATAATGTCCGTTCTTGTCAAAATGGAAAATTTTTGTTGCATAATTTAAAATACATTAGTTTATAAAGAGACATAATCCTTTTTACATATCCACTTCTCTCTGTGGTTATAAAGGAATAACAAATTTACCGCGAATACTCCGATATCTCAAAGCAGTGTTTGACGAATTATTTTGCAGATATCGAACTTCAATTTCTCGTTTCGAAAAGAACGATGCACAATCGGTTATCGACCACTTCTCGTAACGATGCTATCGACTTTAGTTCACTTACTCAAAGAAATATCGCTACGTAGAGTTCTCAACTAATCGATTCCATAAAATAGTGTGTTTCGACGAAGCGCCATCTGTAATAATTATTTGATACTATTCTGTATATTGTTTTTTGAATTAAACGTGTAATACGTAATTGTATCCATAAAATAAATATTTTTTATTTTTTAGATATAAAATTAATTATTAAAAAGTATGGATAATTCTTTGGCGAATATTTAGATATGTCACTTTATAACCGAATGTAAGGTGAATAATTTATCCTTGTTATATTACTATACGTTGATGTTATTTTATCATAAATGCAATTTTTGTACAATTTTTAATAGTAATAGTAATAGTAATACGAACAAGACAACTTATATGAAGGTACAAGCAAATATGAAACAATTTTTAATGAAGTAAATTATTGTTTCTGAAAAATTAACCTGTAATTTATTTGGATTTGTCACGTTGCTTTTTTGTAATTGATAAAAACTGATTAAATTGTACATACTTTTCAGTTTTTAAAAGCTTTAGTCGATTATTTTAAAATAGCGGGAATGTATTTATCCAAAAAAAAGAAGGTATTGTGTTGTTTAATATTATGGAGGTTAATCTCTGTCTTTGTGGTTCAAACTGCCCATGTACCAGATGAATATTGGCAATCAATAGAAGTTGCTCACCGTTTAGCATTTGGATATGGATATCTCACGTGGGAGTGGAGCATGAGAATTCGTAATTACATGTATCCATTTTTGTTATCCGTTATATATCGAATATTAGCATCGATATCCTTAGATCATGTAATAGTTTTAACAATATTACCTCGAATTCTTCAAGCAATTATTAGTGCTTATGGAGAATACAAATTTTATGAGTGGACTAAGAATAAATGGACATTATATAGTTTATGCATAAATTGGTATTGGTATTATTGTGCTACACGTACATTAATGAATACTATAGAAACTGCATGTAGTATGTTAGCTTGTTCAATGTTTCCATGGCGTGACAGCAATATTAGAACTGTAAAATATTTATGGATTGTAGGTTTTCTATGTATGATAAGGCCCACCGCAGCCATTATGTGGTTGCCCCTATGTCTTTATCATTTATGTACAAGTTTACAAAATAAGATGATACTAATATATGAATATAGTAAGATATGTATTATTTGTTGCTTAGGATCAATATTATTGGATAGTTATTGTTATGGTATGTTAGTCGTTTCCCCTTGGGAGTTTTTTCGTGTGAATGTACTATACAAAATTGGAGATTTATATGGAACACATCATCTATTATGGTATATTGTATGTGGATTACCAGTACTCTTAGGATGTTATTATATTATATTTTTATTATGTGTTTGGCAAATAATGAAAAACCCATCTCATTTTCATCATCAAGTAGTTATGTTAGCTACTATATGTTGGACACTTGGTATTTATTCTCTGTTATCACATAAAGAATTTCGGTTTCTATTACCTCTTTTACCAATGTGTATATATATATGCACTTCTTGTACATTCCCATTAAATATAAAATTCTCAAAAGCAGGAAAAAAAATTATTGTAGGACTATTAGTAATAACCAATGTATTACCTGGACTTTATTTTAGCTTAATACATCAACGTGGATCATTAGATGTAATGAACATTCTCCATAAAGAAATTCTTAATATTAATAATACAAAGAACATATTATTTTTGACTCCTTGTCATACTACTCCTCTATATAGTCATCTACATGTAAATGTATCTACTAGAATATTAACTTGTGAGCCAAATTTTACCAATGATACAAACTATATAGATGAAGCAGACATGTTCTTTGCAAATCCGATGCATTGGCTTAATGAAAATTATAATAGCAACAAAAATACCACAATTCCTAATTACTTAATATTATTTGATAATATTGTACCAAAAATAGGTCGATTTTTAAAACACTATCAATTGTTATCAGAAGTTTTCTATGCGCATTTTCCACAGTCGAATTATGGAAAATATATTTATATATACAAACAGAAGTAAAAATGTCGAATTAAATTTTCAATAATGAGATATATATATATATTATATTTTGCGTTTACCTAGTATTTATAATGTATATTTATAAAAAATTATTGATCAATATAAAATTTGCTAACTTGTAATTTTTATTTATTTCCTAAAATAAATATCTTTACGGATTTTATTTTGGTTAAGCAATTAAAAATTAAAGAATTTTTGTCTTATAGTTTGTTAAATGAAGGGTTGGCTAGAAGGTGGTAGCCGACAGTAACGATGGAGAAGAAGAAACGTAATTTGCGAGGCTATGATCGAATAAATTCTTGCGGAACCATCCCCGATGTGATAAGCTCCGATACAACGATTAAATGATCATTATATGATTTTCAAGGATGAGAAACGCAAAAATTATTATAAGATAAGACTTGAATCTCAAAAACACTATGCAGAGATTATAATTCTAACGCTACTTGTTTGATATTAATTGTATCGATCGAATTACGATCGTTTATATGGTAATATTGTTTTATAACATTAAATGTGTAAATATTTCATTATTATATATTCATAAACAAATTACATTTTGCAGATTTTTACAAATATGAGGCTGAAGCTACAAGTCTAAGTAGATTTTTGTTTTAGCTAATAAATTTCAATACAAAATTTTGGTGATAAATGGATAAATAGAAACTTTCGACTTTCTTAAAATTAAGTATACGGTTTTTACATTCCACTTTATTTGTTTCAAAGAAAAAGAAAAAGTATAAAGAAATCAGTTAAAGATGTTAGAGAAGAGCAAGAGGGCAATAGAGTTATCCGTAAGATGTTGAGTCCAAGAATATAGTGATCGCAACCGCGAATAAAGAAAGGCGGACGTGGTAAAGTAACGTAAAGTAAAGTAAGGTAACTCGTGGCTATAATCGAAGGTACGGTAAGATGGTGCAAGTGGGATGGAAGAAAATATAAAGAGGGGACTGACTACATGGAGTCAACGTTCCGAGCAGGTCAGCGACCAGCTCTATCTTCTTCTCTCTCACCTTCTCCTCATGTTCTTTCCTTTATCGTGATACTCTTCCTTCATGGCTGTCTTTTCGTATTAGAAATTTAATTTTGTACTTCATTTCATCGATTGAAAGAATCTTAAACGAGTTATCGGAATGTATTTTTAATGAGATTCTTCGCCAGCTTTGAGCGGCGTCATAATTTAAATATGATACGAAGAACGATTCATCGCGGAAGAAGCATCGTGATTTGTGATGGTTTGAAAGTTACGTACGGCTATGTGTACGAAAGGCATGAATATAATCCTTGTCGGAGAGAAAGTTCTGCGCAACGGTGAATCCACTCCCCTTCCTTCCCTATCGTGAAAGAGCATCCAAAACGAATTGTTCATCGCAAGGTATAGACAGTCTAGCTGTTACGTTGAAATATTTTCAGATGATACCAAATAGATCGACCGTGTTTCATTTTAGTCGATTCTATATAAAATTCTCGAATGTTTATATATATTAATAACATATCACGTTTTATTTTATTACATTCTGTTTTGTGTTATGAATTTAATTCATTAATAGTTGGCTAAAACAATGAACACAATGTTAAAGCTATCCTAGAAGCGAGTAATCATTAAGATTAAATTAGCAGATTAGTTTTACATTCACGAACATTGATAGGTTAAGTTATACTGTGAAGCTATCATAATATATTTATAATTGTAGTGATTTGTGAGAAAAATTTGCTTGTTTTATTTAATTTTTGCAATGCATATAATTTGTAATTTTTCATTGATTAATAATTTTATTTCTGTACAGGGAAAACGAAGTTCGATTTTAGGAACCACAATGGGCAGGTGTTTGGCAGGTGTCTTTAACTTGAAGATATTCTTACTTTTGTATTATTTCTTTCTTCCTTTGCTTCTTTCACGAAAGAATATTTGAAATGTCAATGAATGTTATAGACTTTTTATATTTTCATAACAACTATCAGCATCAATCGATACGTAACAAAGTCGGGAAATGAAATTCAAAGTAGTAAAACTATCATAATTACATTATTGACTTTTATTTCCAATGCAAAATTCATAACGAAATATACCGAATTAATTGTTTCTATTCTATTTCATCAGATAAAGGTAGTAAATTCCATAATAATGACTTTGATTGTCTATAAATGTTTATTCTCGGCCTTTGTCTTCTTTGTGTATAAAAAAATTAACAATCTCGATAAAACGCTATTGGAAATACGCAGAGCACTTAGAATTTACGTCTATCTTATAACAGTGCACCATTCGCTAGCATAGAAGATCGATATAATACGAAAAGTTCAGAGTCCGATATCGTAAACCGGCTTTCCTTCCATCGTCGACGCAGACTTTGCTCCTCGTTCGTAGACTTTGGTCTCGCGCGATTCTCACCGCATACTCGCGTGCCTTATACACCTGTTTAATACGCAAGGATTTTGTCCTTAGTAATAAGTCATCTATATTTTTTGTACATTCACAGTTCATTTTGTGTTCTATTATTATCCGTATCTTAATTATGAAACGCGTTTTCGTTACATGTATGTATTTTTTCTTTATCTCTCGCATCGGGTACTTAAACTTTACCCAGAGGCGTAAATAATTCGAAGGTAATACTGATAAATATTTATGTTATAAAATGCATTTAAAAACCATCATAAGTCAACATTAGAGTAATAATTGTGATTTCTGCGCTGGTGTTTACAATTCAAGGATCGACGAAGTTACGAGAACGATAAAAATATATATTATAATCGTAACGTGCTGATTTGTTTGTGAGGAAATATATATAATTTATATGTCTCTTTTATATACATATATTCGTGCACGTGCATGTGTATAAAATAAACACGCGAAATCGACATTCTTGAAATATCCATTTTTGATCTTGGTCCATCATAGACCAGTCGACGATGCACTTGTCCTCCTCTGGCTGTCGTTACGCGCTGTCGAGTCCGACCAATCACAGTTGGCAGGCAACAGGTGACCGACCAATCCGGTCTCCTTGTCACGACATCGTCCCTCTTACGTAGCGTTAAGCATTTTGCTTCCACGGATATTCCTACCAAATCCAACGATGATTGCTTTCCCGTTTTCTGCTTCTCTGTCTATACATAGTTCTTCTCATTCTCCTGTTTCCCCACTCCATGGTGATCGTGCCAACCTGTTGCTCGTTAGCTTTCCTTCACTCTCCTTCCTAAGTCGATTTAACGTAAACTATATAATATACTATGCATATATGAATTTTTTACATAGATATATATTCATGAATTTTAATTCCGAAAGGTATGTCAATCAGTATATTTCATTAGAGTGAGAAAGATTAACCTATTTAAAAAATATTCTAATGACATGTTCCTGTATGATTTGTTATTTTTAAATGCGTATATTCAATAAAGATGTAAATGGTCAAGGATACAAATGGGCATGATTTCGATGAAAAACACGGCAAGTTTATAAGTTTATAGTAAATAGAGAGTATTTGAGAAAAACATTTATATACCTACGACACGTGATAATCCATACGCGACTTTGATTCCCATAGATAAATTTAACCTAATTATCAGATTGATCTGATTATTTTACGACAAATTCCGTAAAATATTTTATAATTATTCAAAATGTAATATATTCGCGGGTTATATTCAAAAATCCAAGGAGTCTCGTAGAAAGAAAGAAAAAGAACGTCGACAAGTGAAGTAAGACGTGTCCGTACACGCACGTTATCAAGGCCGTGATCACGTTATGGAGGGAGCACTTCGAATCGAGGGCACAGGCGACGGTATTCATACCTGTGATCAGTTATAGAGCCTCCTTATAACTCGGAAGGAGCGCGCCAGGTAGCCGCCATTTTTGTTTCTTCCGAT